TTTTGCAAAAGGCCTCTCTAGTTCAGACTTACCTTGACAGTCTGATCCTTCTACCACTGCTTCCAAAGTGCTTGGATTACTAGCACTTACCATGACCAGCAGAATTTTTTTCACTTTTTTTTTTCAAATGTACTAGTATAACACTATTTATAGTATCTACTACTTTTATATCAGTAGTCATGTCCCATTTTGATTTTTTTCAATTTTCTGTACAAATTTTTCCACCTTTTTATGCTGACATTCTCCTTGATTCTCTAATTTTCCTATTTCAATAATTTCTGATTCTGTATTTCCTTCCATTTATTTTCACTTTTTACTGTTTTTATTTTCCCATTAAGTGTATGTTAAATATTTATATCTGTTGGTTGCCTATCACAAGATGCTAAGATCCCACTGCTTCAGTTGTAGATTTATAAAGAAATCAAGATGAGACTAAGCTGGAAGCTTCCTTCCTGTTGGCTAGCCTTCAGAATACTAAAGTTGTTACGTAGGCTGTTGAAAGAAAACTGTCACCAATAGTCTTATTCAGTTGCAGACTCTGGGTGCAACATGACCAACCAGCCAGGCAAAAATGTATCCATGGCTGGGAGGTCATAGGCCCTAGTGGGCAAACTACTAATGTTGGTTGGCTAAGTAGACATGATGTGATTGTTAAATTGTATATTCCCCTAAAACAGTGCTGGTGTTTGCTTCTTTTTGTAACAGGTAGTACTGCATAGACTCACAACTGGGCAAAGAACTGAGAGTAAGTTATTGCTGAACTCAAATGTTACGTCTATACCTCCCTTCCAAGGCCACTTGAAGAAGAGGGGATATAAAGAATGTAAGAGATAGATGAAGTGCTGGAGAACTGTGGAACACTGTTTTCAGGGCAGGTAATGGCTGCTGCAGAAGCAGCTGTGACTACCTGCATAAGACTGGACGCATCACCATCTTGTCATGAAGGGCCTCTCCTCCCTAAGAATTTATACAGTTAGTTAGTAGTTCTTGGCAGAGAAAAAGACATTTTCTTTAATGGGGTAGCCATAGTAAGTGGCCCCTGTTCCTGGAAATAACCCTAATTAAATGCACTGACTGGCAACAACAAAAAAAAATACAAGATATTTACACCACCGTAAGTACTTTGTGATTTTTTTCCATCAGCTTTTTTCTTAATCCATCTTTTGATATTTTATTATAAAAAAAATGTGATCAGAGTATTGGGTCCATAATAACATTAATTCTGTGAAAATTGATACTATATGACCTTATTTTAAAAAGTTAAGATACAGAAGGAAAAGATAAATATATCATAATGTTGAAATAAAACATGATGTACCTGGAAATGATACCTTTTCTCATGCATTGCCCAAAGCATTTATATGTTCTAATTTGAATATGGCTCATAACAACCTTGTAAGACAATCTTTTTTCATTTTATTTTTGTTTTGTTTTTCAAAACAGGGTTTCTCTGTATAGCCCTGACTGGCCTAGAACACAAAGATCCACCTGCCTCTACCTTATCCAAATCTTTTTTTCTTCTTTTTGGACCCAACCTCTCTATTATCCTAATTTTACAGTTGAAAATCCAAAGGATAAGAAATTTCACTAAGTCATACAGCCTACTAAATGCTGAGTTTTTGACTACTATATAGTTATTATCTCTACTCCTTTTGTTGTAAATTATTTGTGTAGATGTGTGCATGCCCACATACATTCATGTTCACCATGTATGTGCTAGTGTCCACAGACAGCAGAAGAGGGTGTCAGATCCCCAGGAACTGGGATTACAGATGGTTGTGAGCTGCCATGTGGGTGCTGGGAACTGACCCTGGAAATTCTCTGAAGGAGCACTAAGCACTTTTAACTGATGAGCCATCTCTCTAGCACTAATCTCTACTAGCCACCCCTTAACCTATTTTATGTTATACTTGATTATATCAGTTTTCTTTCGGTTAGGCTTTATACAACATATTTTTATTTATCCCTTTATTCTACTTGTGTGCTTATTAAGACAAGATCTCACTTTGTTGCTTAAGCTGACCTTATATTCACAGCAATTTTCCTACTTCAGCCTCCTGAGTATAAGCTACCAGGCCTGGTTTATTTCTTTATGTTCAGTCTTGTTTCGTTAAATGCCTTTTAAGAAACACACAGTCTTGCCGGGCCTTGGTGGTGCACGCCTTTAATCCCAGCACTCGGGAGGCAGAGGCAGGTGGATCCAGAGCCAAAAAAAACTTTTTTCAAAAAAAAAAAAAAAAAAAAAAAAAAAAAAAAAAAAAAAAGGAGGGGGGAGACGGGGGGGCGCGCGCGCGTGTGTGTGTGTGTGTGTGTGTGTGTGTGTGTGTGTGTGTGTGTGTGTGTGTGTGTGTGTGTGTGTGTGTGCACATGAGTGCTATGGTGAGCACATGGAGGTCAGAGGACCTTCGAGCAGGTGAAAAGACAACGCTCGGAAGTCAGTTCTCCTTTTCACCATGTGGGTAGAAGAGATCAAACACAGACCCTCAGGCTTGAAGGCAAGCACCTTTATCTTGCTGACTCTATTTTCTTTTAGTACTGACTATCAAACCCAGACCCTCATCCATACTAGACAAGTGTCAGCACCGAACCACTCAACTACACCTCTAATCTCTTACTTTCTTTCATTAATAAAGAATTTTCTCAGTAGTAGAGCCCTTGCCTAGCATATGTCAGTAAGGCCCTAGGTTCAATCTCCAGCACTAAAAACAGATATTAATGTTTCCACTTCTGTTTTTGTTTGGTTTGACTTTTTAAAGGCAGCATCCCATGTAATATAAACTGGCCTCAAACTCACTGTGGAGCTGAAGATGACCCCAAACTTAATTTCCTCTTGCCTCTACATCCCACAGGGTTCCTATTATGGAACATCAGTCACCAGGCCCAGCTTATGCAGTGCTGAGGGTCAAAGTCAAGGCCTTGAGCATGCTGGAGAGGCACTGCACCAAGAAACCACATCCTAGCCATGCTGTGTATATGGTCAATAGGAAGTACATCCAGTCTAAAAGATCTCCTAGAACTAGGGTGAGGAAACAAAGTCAACTATAAGCAGCATCTTTTCCTAAGTAAGAAAACTAAGGCTAGGAATGTAGCTCAGTTGTCAGAGTGCTCTGCCTAAAGCCCTGGGTCTGATCCCCAGAGCTGAGTAAAACAGAGATGGAATACACAACAAGTTCAAGGCCACCCTGAGTTACATGAAACCCTGTCTTACAAAAATAAACCAATAAAGATGACTTGTTAAAAGCAAAAAGAAAGCTGGAGTCTCACGTTGATAAAATGGATAACTGAACACAAGTCTTCATTCATGATTCATTCACTTTCCCCCAACAAAAAAAACCCTCCACCCAAGCTCTATAGCATGGCATCTTTCTCTTGCTTGCCACTTTTTAAAATTACAACAATCATGACTGAGGGTTTAAATAATCAAAGGCCAAATTACCACAGAGCAGGTTTGCTTTCATTTTGTTTTTGAATTTTAAACAGAAGTAAGGTTCTTGAGATGCTTGACTAAGTCATTTCCCACCACTACTTCTTAAGAGATTTTAATTTTGCTCCTGGCATTGGAGCAGATGGACAACAGCATTTCACAACCTTTGAGGCCTCCAGCTCTTTAATCTTCTCTTCAGCTTCTGTCAATTTATCTTTCAAAGCTGCAATTTCCTTCTCCATGGGCATCACGACAGATCGAAGCTTTTCAGCATCTTCTTGGGCCTATGATTACAAGGAATTAAATGCAACAACTTACTGATTGCTCTTCTAAGAAACTCTAGTCCACCCATTTGCTAAAAATTAGTGTAACAATTATACCATATACTTTATTAGCATTCATAAAATTGAATACCAATTCTCATTTTATTCAAGTTTTTTTCTTTGGATTTTTATTAACATACAGTCATTATATTTACAAAATGATGGGCTTCAAAAATAGATGTCATTCCAGTTTATCATATACTTGAACATATTAATACCAACCATCATCCTCTCATTTCATTTTCCTCACTCATTTGTCTTTTCTTTCCCCAAATAGCTCCTAGTTGTCTTTTATGAAACACATACACACACCCTATATTCCATATTTGAGACAGTGTGATGTTTATCTGAGTATAGTTTATTTTGTTTAATATGATATTTGACCCTAGGTTCACGCAAAGAACATATGTGTTCTTCTGTAAACAGAACAGAGCTTGTGGGCTAGGGATATAACGAAGTACTTAAGAGCATGTACTGTTGTTCTATCAGTTCCTAGGACACACATTAGGTAGCTGTGCATGCCTGTTGATTGGAGTTCAAACTCCAGAATCAACAGTGGAAAAAGAGAACTCCCTAAAGTTGCTCTCTGACCTCCACATGCATGTCTGAATATATATTCCACATTATATACACATACAATAATAATAAAGATAGAAAGATCATTAAAATAAAAATAAAATTGAGAAGCTGTTACAGCTAAACCATGCCTACAACTACATGAGTGCATGACTAAATGCAGTGTGGTTTCTTGGATGGGAGTCTGAAACAGGAAAGAAAAAAGGACATAAGAGACAATGGCTAAAACTAATACAATCTGAATACAAAGACCAAACCTTTGTTACTAATGATGAGCTAGTATTAGTTTGTTAACTCTAACAAGTGCAACATACTATAAGATAAAATGTTAGAAAACTGAACATGAGTATATTGAAACAATATAATATTCAAAAAAAAAAAAAAAAAAAATTAAAAAAAATTTTAAAAAAAAAAAAAAAAAAAAAAAAAAACTTCCTAAAAAGTAATAGTTAAGCCAGGAGGCAGCAATGGTGTGTGTCATTAATCCTATCAATCCCAGCACTCAGGAGGTAGAGGCAGGTGGATCTCTGTGAGTCTGAGGCCAGCCTGATCTACAGAACAAGTTCCAGGACAATCAGGGTGGTTACACAGAGAAACCCTGTCTTTAAAAAAAAGAAAACTTGTTGGGGCTTGAGAGATGGCTCAGAGGTTAAAAGCATGTATTGTTCTTGTAGATGACCTAAGTTTGTTTGATTCCCAGTACCCATGTCAGGCAGCTCCTGACACCTGTAACTCTAGTCTAGCTCCAGGGAATCTGATACATCAGGATTCTGAGGGCACCTGAATTCATATGTATGTACTCTATAAACACATATACAAACAATAAAAAATAAGTAAGTGAATAAAATTCATGGAGGGTCTAGGAGATGATTCAGTTGGTGCAGTGCTCACTGCACAAGCATGAGGACCAGGGTTTGGAACCATGCAGAAAGCCAAGTGTAGCTGCATGCACCTGTAATGCCAGCATTGGGAAGCAGAAGCAGGAGGATCTTGAGTCCACTGGCCAGACAGTCTAGCCTAATTAGTGAGCTCCAGGTTCAGTGGAAGACCTTGTCTCAAAAAGTAAGGTACCCAATGTGGAGTTGTGTGCAGATCTCTGTAAGTTTCAAAGCCAGCCTCATCTACATAGAGAGTTCCAAGTATATGAACCAGCCAGGGATGTAGAGACCCTGTCTCAAAAAAAGAAAGAATAATAAAATAAAATAAAAGTAAATGGAGGAAAGGGATGGGAAACTAGGAATTGGAAATAAATACGCCCAAGATATATTGTATGAAACTGTCAAAAACTAAATAAAATATAACTCTTAAAAAAAAACAAACAAACAGCATCCTGTCTGCAAGATTTACTAGTGCAACAGTGGCACAAATGTCATGGGAGCAACCAATCGACCCACCCCATCCCCCAGTTGGATTTAAGGCTCACTCCATTTAAGACGGAACCTATACCTGACACTGATAACGTGGCCAAGAACCTGAGACTAGATAGGTCATAGGGGAAACTTACTACTGTTATTCTGCTAAAGGAACACAGCCATAAAGTGACTCCTAATGATATATTGCTATATCCATGGAACATCACTCATCCCTCATGAGAAGATTCTTCCTTCAGTACATGATTATTAACCCAAAGTGGACAATGTGCAGAGAGTGAGAGATTTTGGAGCACTCAGCCCTAAGTGGGACGTCTTTATCAAACCCCTCCCCCTCAAGACTCAGGGAACCATACAGAAAGATTATAAGAGCAAAATGTGGTGGATGACTCCAAGGAAACAGCACCTTCTAGACATAACAGGGCTGATGTGCACATATGAATGCACAGAGACTTCAACAGTCAGTACACACAAGACCTAAACGAGTTCAGGTAAGACAAAATCCCAGCAGGGAGAAGTGGACACAAAGTCCCACCCCTAGCCAAGGCACTATTTGCAAATGAGACCTGTTGGCAAAAGAATCAGCTCTTTCCAATAGAGATCACTGGGTATATCAACCACACATTAGGGCAGGTCAACATAAAACATAAGACTCCATGGTTTTTGTGTGCTTTTGTTTTGGTTTGGTATTTTTTATTGTCTTATTACCTTTTTATTTGATTTTCATTTTTTGTTTTGTTTTTGAGAGAGAGGCAGAAAGAGAACATGAAGCTAGGTGAGGGTGAGGAGGATCTGGGAAAAGTTGGGGGAAGGAAAAACATAATCAAAACATATGGGATGAAAGAAATTTTAATTAAAAGAAGATTCAAAATAATACAGAGGTACAATGATAGAGAAAGTCACCTGATATGCATCTCTAGCATCACACATGGGCACAAACACACATACACACTATAAATTTTATAAAAATAAAATTTAGTTTTAAAACTAAAACTTTTTAAAAATAGCAAAATAGTGATCATGGAAATGATAAATACACATTTATATAAAGAATGGAACAAGGGTTAGTAGCCAAAGATCATTATTAACCATTTTAAAAGAAAATTTAATTTTTAATTATTCTATGTTCTTAAAAATACATATGCTACTAGATGGTGGTGGCACACACTTTTAATCCCAGGCAGAGGCAGGAGGATCTCTCTGAGTTCGAGGCCAGCCTGGTCTACAGAGCGAGTGCCAAGATAGGCTCCAAAGCTACACAGAGAAACCCTGTCTCGAAAAACCAAAAAAAAAAAATTATAAATTCATAAAATAAGATTGAAGGGCTAGAATGTTCTCAATGAGGGTCAGTGAGTTGGGTCAACATGGGTTCCTCCCATTGAGCCTCATGATTAGAGTCAGTATCTACATGTGGACATTGTATGGTATTGTTCAGACATAATACGTGTAGCATTTGTCACACAGAAACTAAGGTATGCTATAAAAAATTAACAAGTATTCTAAAATGTTTAGACATGGTATCAAGGAACATCTCCATCCAACACGAACTCACTGGGCAACTATGCACTAGATGACACCCTATGTACTTAGTACACACAAAAACTACATGCTCATGGAGTTAACATTCTATTGAACAGAAAAAAGCAGTAAACAAACACAGTAAAAGATGAACTCTGTTTTATGAGGAAACACGCTGTGCAAGAAAGAAAGAAAAAAGAGAAGAGAAAGAGGAAGGAAGGAAGGAAGGAAGGAAGGAAGGAAGGAAGGGAGGGAAAGAAAAGAAAGAAAGAAAGAAAGAAAGAAAGAAAGAAAGAAAGAAAGAAAGAAAGAAAGAAAGGAAGAAAGAAAGGAAAGAAAGAGGAAGGAAGGAAGGAAGGAAGGAAGGAAGGAAGGAAGGAAGGAAGGAAGGAAGGAAACCACCTAATCAGGGTACTGAAATCCGGAGAGTCCTGGAAGCCTGTGGGAAGAGGAAGGTAGGTTGTAACCTTAAATAAAAGAGGTAAGAAAGGCCTGATGAAGAAATGATATCTCATCAAAGATCTGAAGATGGAAAGGCTAGTCACATGTACTGTGGAGGACAAGGGGAAAAGGCTGTCTAGTCCATAAGTAATTCCTCAAAAGAAAGAAAGGGTAACGTTCAACTTTCAGTTATGTAGCAATGTTTTTAAACACTTTGCTTTTATTCTCAAGTAATTATGTAGGAAAATATATTCCTGCATACCTTTTTCATTTCATTTTCTAAATTTTCTTCCTCTTGACCTTCAGACAACCTTCTTCTTAAATCAGCTATTTCCCGCTCTGCAGATTCTCGATACTGTGCCCACTGTGCTCGCTCCTGCTCCAGCCTCAGATGAAACTGATGCTCATAGTCACGAACTGTCTCTATAAAATATCACACAGTCCATGTCTAAGCATCATGGAGCAATATCTAGTACACTGAAATTTTTTAAGTTATGTAAAGAGCTTGAGACAATTTTCTTTTCTTTTTTTGTTTTTTTTGAGACAGGGTTTCTCTGTGTAGCTTTGGAGGTTGTCCTGGAACTCGCTCTGTAGACCAGGCTGTCCTCGAACTCACAGAGATCTGCCTGCCTCTGCCTCTGGAGTACTGGTATTAAAGGCGTGCGCCACCAATGCCCAGCAATTTTTGCTTTAAAATTTTTTTATTTTATTTTATGTGCATTGGTGTTTAGCTTGAATGAATATATATATCTTCAGTTCCCTTGGTGTCAGATCCTTTGGAACTGAAGTTACAGGCAGTTGTGAGCTGCCATGTGGGTTCTGGGAATTGAATCTGGGTCCCCTGAAACAACAGCCAGTGCTCTTATCCGCTGAGCCACCTCTCTAGCCCAGAGACAAATTTTTGGAAATAAAAAAATTCTAGTTCTTATTATGAGTTTAAATAAGGGTTTTATTACATCATCATCATTGATCTTCACAATAGATCTGCCATATGCTATTTGACAAGGAACCCTGGAGAAGGTTCGAAGTAGAGTTTTCAACTTCCATCTAAGACCCACTCCCAAATCCGTTTCTCTGACACTATACTATGTTCCCCAAAACAAATACAACATTTCATTATAATTACATGAATGTGTAAGGAAATAAGTATTATTTCTGGAATATTTCACTAAAACCTACAATTCTAAATTCAGACAAATTATATAGTCTTTACAAAATAACTTCATGTTGAAAACAGTCTTGAAACATCACCTGACAGGTACTACTGGTAGCCCATTAAATTTTACTCCTTTTTTTCCAGATTTATTTTTATTTTACATATAGGTTTTAGTGTCCCATGCATGTACATACTGCACTATGTACATATCTATAGAGGTCTATAGAGGTCTATAGAGGTCAGAAGAGAGAGCCAGGGCCCCTGGAATTGCAATTAACCCACCCTGGGGGTGCTAGGAAATGAACCCAGATCCTCTACAAGAGGAACAAGTGCTCTTAACCACTGAGCCATCTCTCCCCAATTTCTATACCTTCTTCATTACTAATAAGACCAAACTTTGGGAATTTACAGTGCTCAATAAAAATACTCCACTTTCTAGCTGAGTAAATACCTTAGTGGGATAACTTGCCTCACATGTGAATGGCTCTGGATTTGATTCTCCACAGCACAAAACTAAATATATAGACTTAAAACCACACATTTTGATTTCTTTTAGTTTAGTTAACCACACACATGGTCAACAAAGTGTGAGGAAGATATAGCATGAAGATTTCCAGAAAAAAAAAAATTATGTTTCTAATGTAGACTGGAGGAGGTATAACCATTTCTCAGCCATGAAGCAAAGATGAAATTGTAAGGAACATGGTAACTATATAGAAGCAACCAGCCAGAAAAGTCCAGGATATGGGTGGGGGTCACAGAACTATTGTGACCACCCCTAGCTTACCTAGAGATGGACTTGATTTCCTATGAGAAAAAGGAACTCCTGTATAGATAAACCAATATAGTCAGACTTATTACATGAGACCAGAGTAGCCCTTAGTGAGAGCTATAGACTCAGAAACAAAGATACCCTTAATTGCAGCCTTTCAAAGAATATTACATAAAAAATGGGACACAAATGCAGTTGCCATTAGTTCACATTTGAAAATATTAACTAATTCCAGGATCCCAAAGATTAAGGTAATACCTTGTTTCATTTTGTCCTCATTCTCAAAAGCCAAGGAAGTAATGATGTACGTTAGTGCTGATAGGAAAGAGGCTACACATACTATTACACTTCTTCAGGTCAAAGGCCTCAAGTTGACATTCCATAAAGTCCATTTTAACTGTAAGGCCATTCTTGCCCATCAAATCAAACAAAGATTTCACATACAAATATACATTATACTTAAAAATCTAGACAAATAAAATATAGGTTTAAACCCTGCTTAAAATCTTACAAGTAGGCTGGAGAGATGGCTCAGAGGTTAAGAGCACTGGCTGCTCTTCCAGAGGTCCTGAGTTCAATTCCCAGCAACCACATGGCGGCTCACAACCATCTGTTATAAAATCTGGTGCCCCCTTCTGGTGTGCAGATACACATGGAAGCAGAATGTTGTATACATAATAAATAAATAAAACCGTAAAAAAAAGTCTTTCAAGTAACTACAACCTTCATTTAATTCATTATATCTCTAACACTCACTGTAAATCTTCATTATTAGAAGACACTGACAATGTGCCCATTACAACACCTCTGGCTTTCCTTTTATCTGACATCTTGAGGATGACAATACATAAAGCCACAAATGAACACAAAATGCACTTTAAAGCCATTTGAAAATGGTGTCAAGCATCAGAATTTGTTGATCTTAGAAAGTCTAAAACCTGGTCTTTTCTTTACCTTTCATTACAGCCTGAAGTGAAGCAACTTCTTCTCTCCACTGCCTTTTAACTTCATCTATAGCTTCTTGCTTAGTATTCTCAGAGACTGTGGCAATTGCCTTAATATTCTCCATCTCTGCCTGAGCCTCCCACAGCTGTGTCCGAAGATGACCCAAATCATCCTGTGCAGCTTGCAATACTGCATTTTGCCTCTTCAGATCCTCTGGGGAAAAAGTACAAGATTTTCCATTAATGTGTAGTTCACTTTATCAGACTCAAAAGAAATGAAGAAATTGGATTTTAAAACGCTAGAAATAGAAATATAAAGTGTGCTTGGTTTCAAAAACAAACTATTTACAAAGCGAGTTCCAGGACAGCCAGAGCTGTTATAGAGAAATCTTATCTCAAAAAAATCAAAATAAATAAATAAATAAATAAATAAATAATTTAGAAATAAAAAATAAAACACTGGGTAAAGTCACAGTTTTGGTGATATATTTAGGCTTTTACAACTTACTAAACAGAAATAATCACAGGTCCTTTGAAAAACAGTCAGAGCTCTTAAACACTGAGCCATCTATCCAGCCCTAATAATGAAATTCTTTAACTACTCTGGTGTAAGTGTCCAAATCTACAAAATGGAGATTAAAGATGGGCACTTCACAGGACTGTTAAAATGATAAAATGATGTATTATAAATGCCTGTAAGTATAGTAACTTCCAAAGAGTAAACCTTCAAGCATACTTAATGGAAGAAAGCCAGACTGTATAGTACTTACAATTGATAAAGCTATGCTTACTCTCTCGGTTACTCCTTATAATCTCTTAAATATTAAGTTGATATCACATGTACACTACACACCTTAGGTCTAGACAGAACATACATTTGGTCATGACTTCCAAAAAAATAAGATGGATGCATACAGTCAGGAAGGCAGTTTAGAGGTATAGCACTTGCCTAGCATATACAAAGAAAACAAGGATAAGCCTACTATCCCAATATAGAGATGTGTCTATTTTCTCTTACTGCCAACTCTCACTATTCTCTCCATTAAAAAAAAAAAAAAAAGTGGCTAAGCCGGGCATGGTGTCATATACCTGTAACCCCACCATTTGGGAGGCAGAGGCAAGCGGATCTCTACGAGTTTGAGGCCAGCCTGGTTTACAGAGTGAGTTCCAGGACAACTTCCAAAGCAATACAGAGAAACTGTATCTCGAAAAAACCATGAACACAAAATGTTCAACTTTTAAATCTATACTTGTACTAATTCTTCCTTCATATTGGATAATATGGATTATAATCAATATTCAATAACATACATTTTAATATGTTAAATAATAATGGTGAACAATTCTCTAAGCAAACAGAGTTCTTCAAAGAGAGGAAAAATTCCTTTCCTTCACCATTTAATTTTGTAACTAATTTCTTTTTATTTTGTTGTAGTGCCTATGAGGTATTGTAGGATAGTCCTTCTGTATGCTGTAAATACATATTACTCTCATTGGTTGACAATAAAGCTGATTTAGCCTATAGCAAGGCAGAATAAGGCTAGACGGGAAAGCCAAACTGAAAATATAGAGAGGAAGTAGGGCAGAGTCAGAAAGAGAGTCAAGCAGCCTCAGGAAAGCAAGATGCTAGAGGACAGGTAAAGCCACCAACCATGCGGCAAGATATAGGTTAATAAAAATGAATTAATTTAAGCTGTAAGAACTAGTTAGTAATAAGCCTGAGCTAGGGCTGGAGAGATAGCTCAGAGGTTAAGAGCACTGTCTATTCTTTCAGAGGTCCTGAGTTCAATTTCCAGTAACCACATGGTGGCTCACAACCAATCTATATAATGAGATCTGGTGCCCTCTCCTGGTTTTCAGGCATACATGCAGGCAGAACACTGTATACATAATCAATTAATTAATTAGCTAATTAATTAATTAAAAAGCCTGAGCTATAGGCTGAGCACTCTGTAATTAATATAAGCTTTTGTGTGTTTATTTGGACTGGGCAGTCAGGACAAAAGAAAAGCTCTGCCTCCATTTACACAAGGATCTCTTGCAAAATAATAAAGTACTGATGACAGACTACAGAAATTCCTCAAAAAACTATTAAGAACTATTAAAAACTCAAAAGAACTATTAAGTACTCCAGCTATACCAGTTTTCATGCTTGAGGCTCCCAAACACTTGGCTTGGGTTTTGTTTAATTTTTCATGTTTTTTATTAACAAATATTGATTATACATAAATTATGCATAATGAATTTCACAGCATTTTCACACATACATACAATTTTGGTCATATTCCCTTCCCTTTACCCATTCTCATGCCCTCCCACTCCTGATTACTACCTTCTTCTTCCCAATCATTCCCCTTTCTACTCTTGTCTTTATTTCTCTTCTTTGTTTTGGTGATTCAAGAACTCTAAGTTTGTCTCTATTTATTTCTTCCAGAAGGTTTTTTAGTATTATTTTTTTTTTTAAGATTTGTTTATTATATAGACAGTGTTCTGCCTGCATGTATGCCTGCAGGCCAGAAGAGGGCACCAGATCTCATTACAGATGGTTGTGAGCCACCATGTGGTTGCTGGGAATTGAACCCAGGACCTCTGCAAGAGCAGTCACAGCTCTTAACCTCTGAGCCATCTCTCCAGTCCTTTAGTATTATTTTTATTTTACATATATGAGTATTTTGACTACATGTACATATATGCACCAGGTGCATGCCTTGTGCTAGATACCAGAAGAGGGCATATTTGCTGAGACTGGAGTTAAAGATAGTTGTGAGCAGCATTTAAATCTGGGTCCTCTGCAAGAATAGCAAGTGCTCTCTCTCCTCAGCCCAAAAGACATTTCTTAAGACTTCTTTTAAACTTTTTTTTTCTTTTAAACTTTTATGTGAGTGAATTGCAATTTTTTTTTTTGGTGTTGTTTAGTAGTCAAATTTATCAGTTTCTCGGCTTTGTATTTTTTCTTATGCCCCAAACATTCCCTGCTTAGTTCTCTTCTGTGCAGGTGATAAATTTATGTGCAAAGATGCGCTTTGTCCTCGCTGTTTAAGAACTCAGCTAAATATTAAAATTCTAGGTTGACAATCATTTTATGTACTCTGATGATACTATTCCACTGTGTTCTATCACTTGAGGGGCTAATAATATGGTATTTCCTGGGTTCAGGTGCTGTTGATGAAGCTGCTATTCAGACAAGCTCTTGCTATTTTCCCCAGGCTAGTCTCAGGTTCAAGATTTTCCCCAGGCTAGTCTCAGGTTCAAGATCCTTCTAACTCCACCTCCCAAATGCTGGACTCACATGCACATGCCACCATGCATGGGTCAGTCTCTACTTTATACTCTGTTTGCAAGTTCTCTAATTAGTTTTTCTTATTTATCTTTATTTCTTCATTGTTTTAACTGTAATTTAAAAAATATTCCTTGTTTCAGGGGGAAGGAGGAGGGGAGGGAGAGGAAGAAGGGATTGACATGTGAAATTACAATTTTGTAAAAATTAAATAAAAAAAAATCAGAGAAAAAATATTGCTTGTTTCATATCCCTATCTAAATGTTACCTGGACTATATGTAGATTCCTAAACCAAGCTTTTCATAACTGAAATTATAAAAGCATCAGTGCACCATATAAATTATGGCCATGCATAAAGTTTTTTTGGACTTCACTGGAAAACTCAATCTCCATTTTTATCATTTTCTTCCACAGTCTTTTGTCTGGAGCATCAGAGAATAGGGTCTCATTAACACTCCAGATTGAGATTCCTAAAGCATAAATTTTGCTGCAGAATTGAGCACTGATTGAAGCTGGTCAATGGAAGAATACCTTTTTAAAGTTTAGTAGAAAATCAACAAAATTTTCTGAAATTTTATAATATTCCCAACTGAAGTCATCTTGAAAAAAAAAATGCTCACTAAGACAAAAACAGGCAGTAAAAGAAGCCCAAAAGTAGCCTTATCATCTCTTTTATTAGTAGTCCTCATTACTGTTTGCATTTACAACTCAGTGATATTCCAAATACATGCCAGCCCAGCAATTATAGTAGCAGCAAAACTGTCCCTTCCAGTGAAAAAGCGGTGTTTGGACTTCTGAGTCATCTTGACCTATTTTGCTGAAAGACAAAGACTGCTGAGCACACCAACACTGTTTGTGCCTGTGACAATCATAAAGACTGGCCTCTGCCTTCATTACAGGTACAATAATATAAGCTGCTACTTGAGAATAAAGTTTTAAATTTGGTTTTTATTATGATATGGGTAAGTGTCAAGATAAAAACTAAATAACCAGCACTGGTGTCTTATACACCACATATGTTGCCTTTAGGAAGGTCACCAAGAAAGGATCATAGAATTCCTTATGTCATTTTGTTAAAAGTTGCCTCAATGTTCTCCATGGCCAGCTTTAAATTTGTTAACAATGTCAGATAATAAAGTACAGTTAACTGAAGTAATTTTAACATAGCTAGTTTGTTTTTGTGGTTTTTCAAGACAGGGTTTCTCTGTGCAGCCCTGGCTGTCCTGGAACTCACTCTGTAGACCAAGTTGGCCTCAAAGTCAGAGATCCACCTGCCTCTGCCTCCCAAGTGCTGGGATTAGAGTGGTACATGGCTGCAACCACCACCCCAGCCTTTCCCCCACCCCCACTTTAGAGCAAGTATTTTTAACTAAACCATTATGAAAGCTGTTTAATTCAGATATAAAACTTGTAATACATGTCAGAAAGGAGAGTTCTGTGAGACAGTAAGATGGTTCAGTGGGTAACAGTACTGCT